TTAGAAGGGTTTATTAATGTGATCCAGGTAAGTTTTAGAGGTGACATGCAGTGATTAAGAATGTGGTTATTAAATTATTCCAGGTATGTTTTGTTCTGTGTATGAATTCCGATAAAATGTCCGATAAAATGTCCTTGAATTTCTGATAAAATGTCCTTGAAAAGTCCTTGAAAAATTCTTGAAAATTTGTTCAGTCCTGTATGAACCATGACTTAGGTAGTTTGTGACGAATTCTGGGCAAAACGTTGTCAACGTCAGTATTTCTGTATCGTCTGCTGAGCGCATCTGGTGACCTCGTCGTTGTTTCGTCGCTGCTGCTGCAGGGTTGGTGAGATCAATGGTGACCTTCTCATCTACCATGTGCTGCTCACGCTGAAACCCTTCTACAACAAGCCGTTCGAACTCGTCGTTGACTTCACACACACATGCGCCGACAACAGATTCCGGGTGAGACTGGAGCCGGTGGCGCGCCCGCAGCGAGCGCAAGCAATTTCTACTTAACTCTGCCCGGCAGCAAGCTTGGTCGCCGTACAATGGAATGCGCGCACGTGGGAGGGGGATGGACGACGGGGAAATTGCGTTTTTTTTCTCTGGCGTTCCTCCAACTTGCTGCGATGCCGGGGGAAATTTCGAATTAAACTGTAAACGCTGCCTGTTTCACCCTAGAAGCCACGACAATTCGACCCCCTGCACCAGCGCGCGTGCGATCTACAGGTGATGGTGCCGGGGAAATTTCGAATTAACCTGTAGACGGCTACCCGTACGGGGCGAGCTCGATGATTGTCGTGACGCGTTTTTCTCGTCTCCTGTCTCGTGTGCAGACGGAGTTTCTGCAGAAGTGGTTCGTCGTCATGCCGGACGTCGCCTACGAGAACATTGTCGCCGCCTACATCTACAACTGCAACTCGTGGGTGCGAGAGTACACCAAGTACCACGAGCGCATCCTCGCCTCGCTCAAGGTCAGTGCGTAGCGTCGCTCAAGGTCAGTGAGTCGCGTGTCGCTCAAGGTCAGTGAGTCGCGTCGCTCAAGGTCAGTGAGTTGCGTCGCTCAAGGTCAGTGAGTCGCGTCGCTCAAGGTCAGTAAGTTGCGTCGCTCAAGGTCAGTGAGTCGCGTCGCTCAAGGTCAGTGAGTCGCGTCGCTCAAGGTCAGTGAGTTGCGTCGCTCAAGGTCAGTGAGTCGCGTCGCTCAAGGTCATTGGGTCGCGTCGCTCAAGGTCAGTGAGTCGCGTGTCGCTCAAGGTCAGTGAGTCACGTCGCTCAAGGTCAGTGAGTCACGTCGCTCAAGGTCAGTGAGTCGCGTCGCTCAAGGTCACTGAGTCGCGCACGTACATGTGCACGCGTGCATGCAGAATTGCGCATTGCACGCACGCACCGATTAATTCAGGTTCCAACCGATTCACACCATGATTCACACATGCACACATACGCACGCACACACACGCACGCACGCACGCACGCACGC